AACGGGAGAGGCCACAACAGTGAGAGGCCTGCGTACCGCAAAAAAAAATTTTTTAAAGTCAATTGCCCAGCTTCCCTGGTGGTGCAGTAGTTGAGAGTCCGCCTGCCGATGCAGGGGACACGGGTTCGTGCCCTGGTCCGGGAAGATCCCACATGCTGCAGAGCGGCTGGGCCCGTGAGTCATGGCTGCTGAGCCTGCGCGTCTGGAGCCTGTGCTCCGCAATGGGAGAGGCCACAACAGTGAGAGGCCCGCATACCGCAACAAACAAACAAAAAAGTCAATTACCTTTCTATACACCAACAACAAATTATCAGAGAAATTAAGAAAAGAATAAAATATCCAGGAATAGATTTTACCAGGGAGTTGAAAGATCTAGACACTGAAAATAAGATGTTAATGAAAGAAACTGAATAAAACACAAATAAATGGAAAGATATTCTGTGCTCATGGATTGGAAGAATTAATATTTTTTAAACGTCCATACAGATTTAATGCAACCCCCTATGAAAATTCCAGTGGTATTTTTCACAGAAATAGAACAATCCTAAAATTTGTATTGGAACCACGAAGGACCCCAAAGAGTCAAAGCAATCTTGAGAAAGAAGAACAAAGCTAGAGGCATCACATTTTCTGGTTTCAAACTGTTACAAAGTTATAGCAATCAAAACAATATGGTATTGGCACAAAAACAGACACAGATCAATGGAACAGAAGAGAGATCCCAGAAATAAATTCATGCATATATGGTCAATTGATTTACAACAAAGAAGCCAAGAGTATACAATAGGGAAAGTATTCTCTTTCAAAATATTCTGGTGCTGGGAAAACTGGACAGCCACATGCCAAAAGAATGAAACTTAACCTCTGTTTTACACCATACAGAAAAGCAACTCAAAATGGATTAAAGACTTGAATGTAAGACCTGAAACCTTAAAACTTCTAGAAGAAAACATAGGCAATATGCTCTTTGACATCAGTCTTAGCATTATTTTTTTTGGATTTGACACTGAAAGCAAAATTAAACTACATCAAACTAAAAAAGCTTCTGCACAACAAATGAAACCATCAATAAATGAAAAGTCACCCTACAGAATGGGAGAAAATATTTGCAAATCATATATCTTATAAGGGATAATATTCAAACTATATAAAGAGGTCATACAACTCAGTAACAAAAATCAAACAATCTGATTTTTAAAATGGGCAGAGGTATTGGGGTGGTGGTGTGATGAACTGGGAGATTGGGATTGACATATATACACTAATATGTATAAAACAGATAACTAATAAGAACCTACTGTATAAAAAACAAATAAAATTCAAATCAAAAAACAAAATGAGAGAGGGAAAGAAGAGTTACCTCTGAACTATAAAAGTAAGCAAGGGTAAAGTTATGTGGGTTTTCATATATTTTAACTAACTGTTTGATACTGACTACATTTTATATAGTTCAAAGCAAAGCCTTTTTATTTCATTTGTTTTCATGAATTTTAAAATCCAATACTTATTTTGATTTAGTATTATATTGAACATTTATTTCACCATAGAATCACCCTCTGTGGCATAGGCATAATACTAATTTTCATTTTCTAGGAATCGTATGGTATATTAAAAAGTTTAACAAGACTAGTGTACCAAGTATTAAATTAAATCTTCATTTACATACTACTATAAAGCTTTGGCAAGGACTACGTTAAAAACAATTTCAACTGGAGTCAATAAGCCATTTTTCAGTAAATCACTATTGTACCTTACTCTATATAATATATACACTAAATCAAATACTGATTTAAAGATACAAGAGAATCAGCTAATTTAAAGAAACTTGTAATTTTTTTAGATTTGAGAATCTTTCTGTAAAATAAAGAATAACAATTTCCCATTTGCTCTAATCTGCTTATTGTTTTAAGGTTGAATTTTTTAGAATGTTGAATTTTCTCTAAATGGCATAGAGCACTACAGCTGAGATAAAACATCATTGTAATCAGGAAGCAGTTGTAGGAAACAAACCATTCCATTTATATTATGCAGAAAGTGACTTAATACAAGAAACTAGGTGCTTATCAAGTCACTGAAAGATGGAGACGTAAACTTTAAGCTTGGCCTACAGGTATGACTTTCAGAATAAGGCCACCAAACAGACATACCAGGGAAGCAGACAACTTTGCTACTGTTAGAAACAGAATCAGAAGACTACTGCCAATCAATTGTTGAACTGAAGAGCACATTGTTATAAGATCAGCATTCTACTACAACTGCCTCTTGACATACAGAAAGCTTGTGACTGGACACTGGAATGTTGCTTCCAAAAACAAAACAAAGTAAAATCTCCATTGCAATAACACCAAAGCAGCATAAATATTGCTTCCATCCCATTTTCAAAATCACTTGCCAGACATTTTGAAGCCCTGAGCCACTATGTAAAAAAGGCCACCATGCTATGAGGAAGCCCAAGCCTTCTAAAGAAGCCACCATTGACAGTCCCAACTGAGCTCAACATTTGCATCATTCTAGCCCAAGCCATGTGAGTAAAGAAGCCTCCAAAAGGGGCTTCCCTGGTGGCGCAGTGGTTGAGAATCTGCCTGCTAATGCAGGGGACACGGGTTCGAGCCCTGGTCTGGGAGGATCCCACATGCCGCGGAGCAACTGGGCCTGTGAGCCACAACTACTGAGCCTGCGCATCTGGAGCCTGTGCTCTGCAACAAGAGGCCACGATAGTGAGAGGCCTGCGCACCGCGATGAAGAGTGGCCCCCGCTTGCCACAACTAGAGAAAGCCCTCGCACAGAAACGAAGACCCAACACAGCAAAAATAAATAATTAATAAACTCTTAACCCCAACATCTTCTTAAAAAAAAAAAAAAGAAGCCTCAAAAAGATTCCAAGCCCTCAGCCATTCAAGCATTCCTGACTAATGCCACAGACATCATGGATATAATATCCCCACCTTGCCTTAGTCTAAGTCCTTGCCCACAGAATCTGTAAGCATAATAAAATGATTGTTATTTTACATTATTAACATTTGGAGTGGTTTTTATGCAACAAGAGCTAAGCGAAACACATCATAGATATTTTATAAGTTTCAGCAAGCATTTCAGAAACATTTTTAAAGATTATAATACTCTATTATGTAATATATACCACAATGTACCTAAAAGTTTATGCTAAATTGTAAAGGAGAGCTGGTTTCCAATTTTTATCTATAACTTAAACTATACTGAATAATTTTATCAATAGAGGTTTTTGTTTCTCTTTTGTATTTAGCATTATTTCTTTATCATAAATTTCCAGAATGTCCGGGCTATAACCAAATTTCTTTATAAGTGTTTTGTATCTATTCATATCTATCTTGAATATTTACTGTGGTTTTAAAAAAATTAAAGCAAATTAACTTCCATATATTTAAAAATTTTTAGCAACAAAAAAAAATCCTTTAAGTTAATCAGCCCTATTGAAAACAGAAGAATATGGCCAAAAACTCTGGGCTACCCATGTATAGTAATTTCATCCAGACCTCATGAGTCAATCATGAGGAGCTGGGGAAAATGTGGCCATACAGTGGGTAGGGGGAAAAAAAGACCAGCATATTGAGTAATCTAATAATTGATACTGCCCTATTATGAGCTCAAATGAAACAATATTCACATGAAACAGCCACCAAATGATGGTAATAGATAGGCAGGGACCTTGGCTTAGCAAGTCCAGAGTCCTGGCTAAGTGAACAAATTTTACTGTTCTCAGTGCTCTGCTATATACTTTTGTACCTAGATAAGAGAGCATGAAGAGGACTGTAATCCATCCCACATTACTCTGGATAAGCCCTAGAACAAGGCTTCACACCTGTGGAAGGGGCAACTTTTCCTAACTGGTATGCCCAGAGGGGGGCAATTTGTACCTCCAAAGTAGTCACTCTAAGTCTTTGTTACTGGCAGCTATTGCCCTCAGTGTTCTTCCTATTTATAAGACTAGATTTGTTAGCAAAGGAGGGCTACAGCTCTTGACTTCTGCTTCCCCCTAGCTAACTCATCGTGTGATATTTGTGCCTGTCCATTCAGGAAATCTGATTTCAGAGATCTATGTTAATATGGAAGATGACTGGTCCCAAAGGGCTTGGATCTCAATGTACATTATACAGGCTACTCCTAAACCCTACTAAATATGCCATCAAAATTGCTACTCCTTACCAAATATTTTAGCTGACCCTGTGGCCTAGTTTTTAAGCATACAGACACTAAGTGAGAAAAATCTGGATTAGAATCCTGCCTCCATGAATACTACTTATGTAATATTAGATGATTTTCTGAACCCTATTTTCTGACCTTCATTTTCCTCATCTGCAAAAATCAGGATAATAAAGCACCTACCTTGCATAGTTGTTGTGAAGATTAAATGAATAATGTGTATAAAATACCTAGCATTTAAGTATTCAATAAATGTTAACTCATTTTTAAAAAATAGTAAAACAGGGCTTCCCTGGTGGCGCAGTGGTTGAGGGTCTGCCTGCCGATGCAGGGGACACGGGTTCGTGCCCCGGTCCGGGAAGATCCCACATGCCATGGAGCAGCTGGGCCCGTGAGCCATGGCTGCTGAGCCTGCGCGTCCGGAGCCTGTGGTCCGCAACGGGAGAGGCCACAACAGTGAGAGGCCCGCGTACCGCAAAAAAAAAAAAAAAAATTATGCAAAAGAAAGTCTAATACTATAACCTATTTTGTATTGCTATTAAATGGCAGAATACATAATGAGGACATAGAATAAATTTTAAACTATGTTAACTAGTCAAATTTTAAAAACGAATCTTATATTTAATAAATATCATGAAAAATTTGGCTAAATACTTTGGCAAAAATTGAAATTGTGACTAAATACTAAAATAGCATGGACTTGGCCATCTTTATATGTTTTGAAAAAAGGAATTCTCTTCATTTATTAATCTACACACTTAGATTCCTTTATATTAAGATTTAATTATGATATTTATGCTGCCTTCTTCCTCTTGGTACAGATCATGTAAATGGACACTGCACAAGTCCAACTTCTCAGAGTTGCAGTTCTGGAAAACGTCTTTCCAGTGCTGATGTTTCAAAAGTAAATCGCTGGGGTCCTGGAAGACCACCATTTCGAAAAGCACAGTCAGCTGCTTGCATGGAGATTTCTTTGCCAGTTACAACAGAAGGTAGGTTAAACATACAAATTTTTGTGGATACAATTAAAATTTGACATACCACAGTAACAGGAGCTGGAGGATAAGGGATGGTGGTCAGGTGTGAAAAATCTGAAAAACTATGGTCAACTAGACAGTGAGCAGCTGAGAACCTGGTTGAGCCGTGGCCATGACTCCAAATCCATTCCTCACTACACCTCTTTCATCTCTAAAACCAGAATGGCTGTTTATGAGTAGGCTTTCACCTCCTCTGTACAAAGTGAGACCTATGTCTTAATCTGCACTCCCAGTTTCTTTCCATCTCAATGGTAAGCCTTTTAGTGTCTCTATCTCTAGATAGTTATTTAATGTCTTATAACCTTAGTTTCCTCAACTGTTAAGTGAATGTGACCAAGAAAAAGGGAAGACATTAAATTCTAAAGTTTGCAATCTCATCTTCATATGTTTGAAAAAGGGAGGATTATTTGCTTACTTATGGAATTACTGTTAGGGGCAGGGAGTAAAGTACAAGAGCCAGAAGGCCTAAAATTAAGACACACACACACACACACACACACACACACACACGCACGGGAGTCCTGTAACTGCTGCTATTGTCTTGCTGATAAAAAGCTTTGGGACTAGAAATAGGAAAAAATAATCTTAGGAATATGCTATGGTAATTCTATGCTATAAAGTAATTCACCATTACCACCCCTCAAAAAACTTGGTAGTAATGATCTATATTATTCTTCAAATTTTTAAAATAAAATTTTTAGGGACTTCCTTGGTGGTCCAGTGGTTAAGGCTCTGCACTTCCACTGGAGGGAGCGTGGGTTCGATCCCTGGTTGGGGAACTAAGATCCCACATGCCATGCAGCTTGGCCAAGTAAAAAAAGAGAATTTTTAGTTTTTTCCTTTAACACTATGCCATACTAAATTTGGTCCAGATGATCTTCTCTCACAGGTGCCTATGAATAGCAACCTAGAAACATTAGCTAGGAATGTTATAATGGAAGCAAAATGTAAAGGTTATAAAGGAAATAGTACTTTTAATCACTGGATTGAATTGGGAATTTTGAGTTTTAGACTTTTCTGCCTCTAACTTGTTGATTCTGGGAAAATTACTTAACTCTATGTCTCTGTCTCCAAATCTGTAAAATATATAGATTATATCCAAGCTCCCTCTCAGATCTAAATTCTATTACAAACAATTACTTGTATAAACTTGCTAAGGGATAGAAGGGGGAAATTAGGAATATTATATTTTGGTTTGTAGAAAAAGGGATAGTCTGGGGAACTTATATTTGGTTTTATTGTGTATTATTTTATTTATATATATTATCTCTTTTTATAAAAATGAGTCACACTTATACCTATCAAAAAGGAAAGGAGAGGGAAGGCAGTAAAAAGAGGAATATGAGGAACTTGTACTCTGGAGTGATATATGAACAATACAACCTTCCTAATATTTACCTGAGGTGGTGAGTTTCTGCTTGTTGGAGTGTTACACACGTGTAAGAGTTGATGAGCAGGAGAACCTGAAACCACCTTGTTTCCTTTAAGTGGGCTGAAGCCCTCTCAGAAAGATTATTGGTGGGGTGGCATTGTCTACGACTCTGTATTTGGCCCTAGGCAAAGCCAAGACTGTATTTGGATTCAAAGTAGGCAGCTTGTAACTAGTTCAGGGAGATAACATTTGCTCTTTAGTCTTGGTGTAAATATAAATAGTTCAATTTTTACAATTTTAATTACTCCAAATATAACAAAATCAGAGGAATGTATTTACTACAGAACATTTGTGACCCTTCAGGTAAGTAGCCACAATGTTGTCAGTAAGTGGGAATTGTCAAGAAATCATTAGAAGTACTTCCAACAATTGAGAGATAGGAGGGAAGCATAATTAAAACTGCACCAGAAGTTCTTGTAACCTTAACTATTTAGACTAAACATCTTTTTTTTCTAGATTAGAGAATTTCAACTAACTTGTGAGGTGAGGTAGAGAGAAAAACACAGTGGACTGGAACTCTGGAGACTCAAGGTCTAGTTCCAGCTCTTCCTAAGTTTATGATTTACACTTCTGGACTTGTCTCTTCATCTTCAAAATAAGCTGGTGAACTGGATAAACTGCCTTACAGATCAGTTAACAACGAATCAAATTCTACTTCTCCCCCATAATTTGGTTTTCACTTACTAAGTTTGACTTTACTTGTTCTGGAAACACACTAAAACTAAATTTTTGGTTTTTAAATTTCCATAGAAAGTCGAGAAAATTCCTATAATCGCTCGAGAAGCTCTAGCATCTCCAGTATTGACAAAGATTCTAAAGAAGCGATTACAGCACTATACTTCATGGAGTCCTTTGTTCGGAAAAATGACTGTACTATCTCCCCTTGTTTGTTTGTTGGAACTAGTCTGGGAATGGTGTTAATCATCTCCCTAAACCTACCTTCAGCAGATGAACAAAGATTTACAGAGCCAGTCATGGTATTGCCAAGTGGTAAGAGTTTTTATTTATTCCTTCATTGCTACTTTTTCAAATTTAAATATATGGTATTTTAAAACATTTAATTTGTATTGATCTGGAGCAAAGATTTAAGTATTCTGTATAATAGGAACTATTAAGAATTTTATAAATCATATACTATCCCAAGTATTGCAGCTTACTTGCAGGGTGAAATAGTCAACCATTTCTATGGTAATAAATTGTGGAACTCCCAACCTAAACAATGCCTTGGGAAATAAGTTTCTGAAAAGCATTTAGGAAAGCCTTAAAGCGAAAGTTTAAAATTTTTAATGAATTGAAGCATTTCTCCAAAGTTACATGCCAGATCAGAGCCTATGAGTGTTTTACATCATCCTTAAAGAACTCAGTTGATTAAGTTGGAAGCAGTCTGACTTGAGGTGGCTTTCTGAATTCATTGATAATCTGTGCCCATCTTGTTTTGAAGCCATGCCACACAATTTCTTCCCTTTTTATCCTAGTACCTAGAGAATTTGACCTACGTTATGAGTATTGTTGCTAAAGTATATGTTGTATTCTCTTCCTACTTGACTTGTCTTTTTCCTTTTGAAGAGATTCCTTTGAGTATTTTAAAATTTATTCTGATCAATAGTTTTTTCATATATAGAAAAGAGAGTAAAAGTTATCTGAAAAACATTTCTTAAGTAAAAATAATTTTATTAATATATAGGATAAGGGATTTTATTTTAAAAGAACACATATATGGCATGGTAGGTTAGATAGAGTTCTGTTTTCTTTGTTAACTGGTATGCTAAATTCATATAGATGGATTGTAACTTACTGTAGGTAGAACAGTCAGCTCTCTACTAGTGAGGCAAATTCAGATAAACATACTGTATTTTGTGTGTGTATGGCTTAAAAAACAGAAATTTATTTTCTCACACTTCTGGAGGCCCAAGATTAAGGTGTTGGCAGGGCTGGTTTCTTCTGAGGCTTCTCTACTTGGCTTGCAGTTGGCCACACTCTCACCATATTCTCACGTGGCTGTCCCTCTGTGTGCTTGTACCCCTGGTGTCTCCCCATGTTTCCTAATCTCTTCTTAGAAAGGCATTGGACAGTTTGGATGAGGGCCCACCCTATCAGCCTCATTTTAACTTAATCACCTCTTTAAAGCCTCTGTCTCAAATATAGTCACATTCTGAGGCAATGGAGTTTAGGCCTTCAACATATGAATTTGGCGTGGGGGAGGACAAAATGCAGCCCATAACATGCACCGTATTTTAAAAGTTAATCTGTTAGGATCACTAGATTTTAATTGTAAACATATTTCACAATAAGAAAATATCTTTTATTATAGTTCTAATTTTAAGGAAATATGTATAATTATCTTATACTGGTTGAGAGAGAGCCAGATCAGTAAGGTCAAAATGAATTTTTAAGTATTAATTCAATCCATTATTTAACTCAATAAATTTGTATACAGATTGGATACCTAATATATGCCATGTATTCTTCAAATTTAAAGGTAAAAATCAAACTCCTGTATACACAAGTTTACAACTGTGAGTGAAAGACAGTTTTCTAATAAGAGATTTTCTAACGAATGTGGTTTTCTATGCCACAAGCATAGAAATAAACAAGTGTCTGGAAATAATTTAATGGATCTCTCAGTACTATAAGAAAGTTCTTCAACATTCTTAGCAAATAGACTTAGACTGAAAATGATGGCAAAATACAAAATAAGTATATATTTAACTTAATATTCTGGCATCTGGTTCATAAATATTTGCGTACTCTTTCCTTATCCATTTAAAGAGAGATAATGAGAAGCTATCTTCAAGTTTCTATGTCAGTATTCCATTCTTAGAAGATGTTAGTTAATATATCAGTATCACTTCATCAGTTGTAACGAATGTACCACACTAATACAAGATGTTAATAACAGGAAAGGACAAAGGGGGCATATGGGAACTCTCTGTACTATCTGCTCAATTTTCTGTAAACCTAAGATTGCTCTAAAAAAATTAAGTCTATTAAGCAGTACCTATAAGGGAGGAAACTATGAGTCTAGGTTCAGATCTGTTTTATAATTAACCACTGAAAGAGAAATAGCCTAATTGGAAGCCATAATTTATGACAATAAAAAGAAAAAAGGAAGGTGGAGTTTCATAAGAAAATATAGAGGAACTTCCCTGGTGGTCCAGTGGTTAAGAATCCGTCTTGCAATGCAGGGGACACTGGTTCGATCCCTGGTCGGAGAACTAAGATCCCACGTGCTGCGGGGAACTAAGCCCGCGTGCCGCAACTACTGAGCCCATGCGCCACAGCTAGAGAGCCCGAGTGCCACAACTATAGAGCCCATGTGCTCTGGAGCCTGTGCACCACAACTAGAGAGAGAAGCCAGCACGCCCGTGCACTGCAACAAGATCCCGGGTGCCACAACTAAGACCCGACACAGCAATCAATCAATCAATACATACAACAAGAAAGGGTTGCAAGTGGAATAGTCTGATAGAACTTAAAAAAGAAAGAAAAAGAAAAACTATAGAGATGACAGAAAGCCAGTTCAAATTTAAAGTAGAAAACTTGTCTCCTCTTCCTCACATCTCACTTCCTGACTCCTTCTTCACCTTCTTTCCAGTATCTACTCTCCACTAGCCTCCACTGTTCCACTAGTCCCTGCCCTATCGGTACTGCTCTAGATTATGGGAACCATTTTTAAAGGTTTGGAATCGGAGGCATTTCCCTCTTCTGTTGCCAGTGCTAAAGTGGGCAACATGTTCTCAGGCTCTGAAGGCATTCTTACCATCAAAACATTGTTAAATTACCTTTTATCAGTTGGCCTAGCAAAATTTACCTGAGTCTAGCAATTTCCTCAAAGTTGAATACAATCTATTTTGAAATTTATTCATCCATTCATTCAACATACATTTCCCAAGCTCATACTAATTAATTAGTCACTGGGGATACAATGGTGATCAGGACACAGAATGATCTTTATTCCCAGATTATATGTAGGGAAGAACAAAAGTAAACAAAATTAGAATCAGGAAAGTAAAGAATACTGTGCAGCATAGGAGGCGGGGGTTTGGGGAAGACCTCTCTAACACAGCAGCCATCTGAAATGGGACCGGTTTGGAAGGGAGCTGTGCACAGTACTGATGTTTAAGAGTAATTTAAAGCAGCATGAGTAAAAACCTAGAGGTAAAAAGAGCATGGCACAGCCAAAGCCTAGAGATAGAATGGTGCTAGTTGAGGCTGGAAAAGCAGGCAGGGGAAGATTAGAGGGCCTTACAACCATGTTAAGGAGCTGGAAAAGACTTCCTAGATCTGTGGGGTTTTTGTTTGTACAAAAAAAAAAAAATTGTGATGTGGTATGCTTTTTTATCTCAAACGCTGGTGCTTAAATTTTCTAATTGTAAAAAAATCCAAATACAGATGAAGATAAATGAAAATTATGCCACCAGCAAACATTCCCCCTTCTCTGTCGCATCTCCCCCTCCACACTTCTGCCCCTAGAAATTTTACTCTCCAACAGTAATTCTTTGAGAAATTTGCTGAGATTCTAATTTTAAAGCCACTTTACTGAAGTATGATTGACATATAAAAAGCTGTACATATTTAACGTAAACACCTTGATGAGTTTGGAGACAAGTATACATCCATGAAACCATGACCAAAATCTATGCCATAAACTTATTTATAACCTCCAAAAGTTTTCTACCCCTCTAATTTTTTGAGACTCACTTTAAATTGTATTTCATTTCCATGTAATGCTTTGTGCTACCAGCTACAAATTATTCTGTAATTACCAATCCTGCCACGTGAAGTGCCTATCGCTGCTTTGTAAAAAAAATTATTTTCATGCTTCATGATCAAACTAGAGATTTAAACTCATGATTAAACTAAAGACTTTCCATAATAAATTCATTCTCTTTACCCCCGAACTATTTCTTCTTGCTCTTCTCCCCATTTCTGTTAATAGTGCCATGATACTACCTAGATGACTTCCATCACTTCCGTTTCTTTTCTGATCCCTTTACTTACTGCCTCTGTACTGGTCTTATTACAATATTGTCTTCATCACCTAATTGCTATACCCATATTCTCTGACACCTTTCACTTACCCATAGAAGCAATTTCTTGAAAATCTTGGAAATCAGTGATCTCTATAAGCTCAGCTTTGTTCTACCTTTCTAATCTGATTTCCTGCTACTTCCCAGCACCAGCTCTCTGGTCCAACCAGTCTTATTTCCTCACTTCCCTTTTCTCTTTGCTACCTGTCAATCATCTACCATTGGTGGATATCATATGAACTTTTATGTTTGTTGCCAAAATTTTGGAAAACGTGTATCAAGTTTCTTGGGAGCTGTAAGATTTGGAAGAATTTTCTACAGACTAGCTCTTGGATCCAGACATTTCAAATTTCAAATCTTGTTTCTTCTACATTATCTATATATTTCTAATATTGACATAATATATAATTTGTAATATGATCTTCAGCCCTGCACTTCCATGTCAGATTAATGCTGAGTTGCATCAGGGTGGTGGGAGTTTTCCTAGCAGCCATTCCTATACCTAAAAGGCTTTCAATAACCTAGACATGGTAGTGATTGTGAATCACGTACGTAAGTCTACTAAATTCTAGATGTACCCCCATCTTAATTTCCCCTTGTCCAGATTCCTGAAATGCCTATTCACTACAATGTCACTTAACTGGAAGAAAATTACAGTGGAAAGAGAAAGGAGTTTAACTTGATTGTGGTTAAAATATTTTAGTTTCACAAACTTAAAACCCATGAACACGTGCCTCACTTAAAGAAGGGCTGATAAAGAAAAATTTTAAATGTAAGAGATAAAGATTTGTGTAGATGGACTTACCTCATTTTCTCTAGATTTTCCTTTTTGTATACTAAGGATATGATTTTAACTTACTAATTCAGTTTTTTATTACATATTATCTAAGCTTAGATATATTTGTTTACATATCATCTAAGCTTAGATATATTTGTTTTCATATGCAAAAGTATATCAGA